GGCCACCTGAGGCAAGCTTTGCCCAAGGGCACAGGAATCGCCCTCATGGGGTCAGGGTGCATTCTGGAGCTGAGGAGGCCAATGCTGGCCTCTCTCTCTCCGAGTGCCCTCCTTGCACCCAGCATCCCCCATGCACAGTTCTTCAATTCACCAGCCTGGTTGAGCTTCTGGGCTTGGAAACTTCTCTCCACCTCGATCTCTGCTTTGCCCAGTGAACACCGGCCACTCGGGCTCCCTCCTCCAGAAGCCTTTCCTCCTGATCCCCTCCAGAGGATGCACCGTGCTTTGCTTAGGCCCATTTAGGCTGTGACCGGGCCATATGTCCACCCTTCTGTGGCTCTCATCTGTGTGTCTGTCTCGCCTCCTAGACTGGGAACTCCCAGAGGACCAAGACCATGTGTTCAGCAGGTCTGAGAGCTCAGCACACAGCAGGCGCTCAATGAATGTGTGCTGAGGGAACATTCTGGGGGTGCAATGGGAGTGAGGGACCCACACTGCCATGGACTATGCACTGCCATGAGTGTGTGTGTTGTGGTGCCTGTGAGCAGCCCATGAGATGGAGGGGGTGAGTGAGGACCAGGCAGGGGAAGCTTTGCCCAAGGGACAGTGGGACAAGATGGTGTAGGGAGGGAGAAGGGCCAGAGGAGAGCCCTTCTCTGCAGGCCTGGGTAGGAATACTGGCCTCCAATGGCTGAGGCCTCTGGAGCCCCGGCCTCCAGGTGAAGGCATCTCTCAGCAGGTAACTCCAATGGGGTGTGGTATGTGTCTGTGCTGGTTCAGTGGAATACAGGATTGGGAGTGAGCACACGCGCTCTTACACACCCGGGCACACTTGTTCTGAGAAGTCACACAAAGTGCCCCTCCAAGGTGTGGTTTTCCTGAGAAGTTGCCGAGAGTTGCTGAAACGCTTGCAAATGACACACCCCGTCTTCCCGTCCACCTTCTCCTTGGCTCTTTTTCAAGTATTTGCAAGGTGAGCCAGATTCCCCTAGAGGGCAACAGAGGGCTAAGGTGGCCCAGCAGAGGTGGAGACAGGTGACAGATGACAGTGTCTCTGTGGGCTCCTGCCCCTTAGAAATGGTGCCTGGCAGGGCAGGGGGCTATGGCAGGGTGTCTCGTTTAGAAGACTGTCATGTCCCCTTAATTGCATCTTATAGAACAGATAAATAAACTGGGGCCCAGACTGGTAAAGCTCCCTGTCCACAGTCACACAGCAAATTTGGAATCAGTATCTCTAGACTCCGGGGCTAGAATTCCTTTCCCTCCAGCAGGAATGGAACAGGCTGCCTCTCCTGTGTGGGGTCTTTCTGGGCAGGGGCCTCTCTGCAGCATGGCACTGAGAACCTCTCCACCCCCACTCCTTCCTGTCTTGCTTAGTATCTACCCAGAACCCTTCCAAGCTAGGCCCAGGGCACTAGCAGACACGTCTGAGCAAGCACAGGGCAGGGGCAGCACCCGGGGGTCTTTTCCCACAGGCTTCCTTGGCCTGCAGCCTTCTGACCATTTGTCACTGCCCAGGGTCAGAGGAATCCCAAACCCGTGGTCTCCAGTGGCACCCTATCAAGCCTGTCCTGGAGGAAGAAGGGGTCTGAGGCCTTTGCTCAGCAGGGGTGACAAACCCAAAGTCCTAATTAGCCACTTCTGGAACATCCAAGTAACCTGGATGGAAAGGAAATGTGTTCCCTAATTGGCCCCCTGCAGGGCTGTCAGTCAGAGGAGCAGGGACCACGCAGCCTCTTCCTCGGCCCATGGCTTTGCCTCTGATCCCGAAGCTGGCTGCCTCCCACCCATTTTCTCCCTGGGCTCGCCCACATCTCCCTTGGGTGGGAGGGAGCCCCCATACACACTGCATCCAGGAGTCTAGGGTCCTCCATGAGGCCCAAGAGACCCCAACCTGGAGACTGCATCCCCAGCCTCAGAGCAAGGCCTCACAGCTGCTAGGCTCTGCTGGCAGCACCCATGGGCTGGCATGGTGTGCTATGCCCCACCCAGCCCCCTGCGGATGCCACTTACTCCTTCCTGAGTCACGCTCCCTCCTGGACTCCTCTGAACCATCCCTAGAAACCCGTGTACCCCACTTCCAGACCCTTTCAACATTGAGCCGGGTTGGAGAGATTCCTCAACTCTCAAACGACCCCATTTACAGAGAGCTGTGATACTAGAACCCCTCCCACTCACACGCACTATGGCTTGGATGTGGTTTGTCCCCCACCCAAACTCATATTGAGGCCTGGTCCCCATTGTAATGGCATTGGGAGGTGGTGAGGATTTAAGAGGTCATTTGGGTCATGAGAGATCCACCTTCAAGAAAGGATTTAAGTCGTTCTCAAAAGAGTTGGCTAATTATCTCAAGAGCACATTGTTACAAACCATCTGTTCCCCTGTGTCCTGTCCTCTCTTTTACTGGATTCCACTTCTCTTCCACTGTCCCCTATGAGCTGATGCAACAGGAGGCCCTCACCAGAAGCTGAGCAGGTACTGGCGCCATGCTCTAGGACTTCCAGGACTGAGTCAAAATAAACTTCTTTGCTTTATAAATTACCCAGTCTTGGGTATTTTATACTAAATAGACTAATACAGAATCCACCCTTCCCCACAAGGGACACACTGGTGAATGGGGACAAGGCAGTATGAGGCAGCAGGTTAGGACATTGAGACCCATTGTGTACTCGTGTCCCATATATAGGACTTAAATAGATGGGACCTATAAAAACTTAAAACGAGCAAAGGTATAATAATGGTATATTCATTTCTCATTTTAATTTTTTATGGGTGTCCTCTACATGGGATGCTGGGACATAATGGTTAGTTGGTGGTACAACAGGCCTAGACCTTGTCAGGTCCCAGAATCTCCCTATAACCTACTGTTCCTCGAGTCTTCAACGGCAACAGACATGTGGACATCTGGGTGACACACCTGAGTGGCAGAGATGGGTCAGAAACAGGGGCCACCATGATATCTGGAAACGTAGCTACACCAGGCTGTCCTTGACCATCCTAGGTCTTGTGACAGATGGGGTCCTGGGGGCTAATACTGATGGAGAGGGAAGAGCTCAGGGAAGGCTGCTGTGGAGGGAGCAAGAGGCCAGGCCACCCCTTGGCTGTGTGACTGAGCAAGAGCCCTGACCAGCAGGGCCAGTGTCCCCATCTGTAAGCAGAGGCACTGAAACCCACCATCTCCGACACCGGCTTCATTCTGATAAGCGTGGAAGTCTCATATGGGCAGGGAGAGGGCTCAGTCCTGGAGCAAAACCCAGAGCAAAACTTCAAGGACAACAAATCCAGACTGAGTAATAGTCAGGTGGAAAAGGGGACTCATTTTGGTGAAAGTCTAATTTTTCCTTCTTTTCCCCTTGAAGAACAGGATAGAATCACCTCCCAGAAACCCAACTTCCCCTTCTCCTAACCTCTTCCTCCCAGGGCAGCTGCTCACAGGATCCTTCCAGTCCAAACCCCAAAACAAATAAATGTGACCCTTGCCTCCAGCGGCCCACCTGGTCCCTCTCCCTCCCACCTCCCTGCCCAGTTCCCCCTGGGCCTGTGCAGACCAAGGAGAGGAGGGACATGGGAAGAGGGGACATGGCCTCCCTGGGACTCACACTGCCCAGGTCTGCTGCTTGGCTAGGAGAAGCTCTGGAAGGGGTCCCCCAAGTCTCCTGCTCACTTGAGGGTTGGGGGGGGGCGCGCCACCTCGTAGTCCCCAGCTGAGGCTGGAGGCCTGGGGCTTGGACCAGCTGGGGGGGCTGCAGCTGGGGGGGCTGCGTGGTCTTCTTCCAAAAACCACCTGGAGCCCCTCCTTGTGGCTGTCACCCTGGCTTGGAGACACTATGCTTCCTTTATCTTCAAATGACGGCCAAGTGTGTTGTCAAAATCCAGGTTGACTTCCCGGGGGGAGCTAGAAGTTTCTGTACTACCTGGCGATGGCTGTATTTTAAAGGGGCTTTTGGGAATTTACTGGGGATCTCAGAGGGGCCTGGAATATCAATGCCCACCATCTGGACACCACTGAATTGACATGTAAAACCTGCCAGTTGCTCTTGCTTCATTCCTGAGGGAGGCCAGGCTGGATTACTAGGGTCTCGCCCTGGTGTCAGCATGGGGTGTGTGCATGAAGGCATGGGTGTGCTGATCCATGTGTACATACATATGCTCTCACACGCATGTAATAAAATGAGAATGTTTTAGAAGTTCTCAACATTCATCATCATTCATCATTTTATGCCAATAAGGTCCTGACCCTTAGTTAGGAGACAAAGTTTACGTGCATCTATGAAAATGTCCATAATCCACCCAGTGTTCTGTGTAACTATAATGCACTAATAAAAAAAATAAAAGTCTGGGGCTGGGGTGAGGCTCAGCGGTAGAGCGCTCGCCTAGCACTTGCGAGGCCCTGGGTTCGATCCTCGGCACCACGTAAAAATAAGTAAGTAGAATAAAGGTACCGAGTCCAACTACAACTAAAAAATAAATATTATAAAAAAGTCTGAGTCTTGCCACTGGCCCAGCAAGGACCCCTCAGGGTCAGAAAAGGGCTGGACCCTTGGCAATGCAGATTCCCCAGGCTCCCTGCAGCTGAGAGGAATATTCTACACATACCAGGAGCTCCTACCACTGTCCTGATGCTTGAGGGCCCTGCTGGTGAGCCACACAGACTTAAGGGGACTGTCCACAGGATGAATGAGGACATGGAAGATCAGTAAGGCTCGGTCTGCAGCCACACAGCCCAGCAGAGGCAGGGCCAAGGCCAGGGCCCAGCCTGGGAATCCCAGCCTCAGAGGTTCCCACTGGCCTTAACGGCCCTCCACAGAGAGAGGAGGAGAAGCCAGGCCCCTGTGGCCCCTCATGCCCTCTGTCCGTGAGGGCCAAAGTGGAAGAGAAGAGCAACGCCTGGGTGCGAGATCCACTGGTCGCAGGGATCCCGTGACCCACCTGCATCCCCACCCCAGCTCTCCACGGGTCACACGGCCTCACCCCACTTCCCAGGACGGGGCTCTACTCACCATAGTCTTTCTTGCAGTACTTTTTCATGTTAATCTTCAGCTTCCCTTTGGAGGCCTTACAGTAGGAATCGCAGTCTGTAGGAGGGGCAGAGAGCAGACAAAAACTAATTAGAGCTGGCAATGAATAGGCTGGTGGGCTGGGCGGGAGGCCACCTCCCCAGAGACCCAGAGGCCTGCGATACCCATGGGCCAGGCTGAGCGGGGCGGCCATTCAGGGCAGGCCTCGCCTTCTAAAGAGGCCCTGGGGACAAAAGGCCCCCGCCTGACCCCCTCCTCCTCTGGCCTGACGAATCCTTTAGCCGCCTTGGCCTCCGTGAGAGTCTCTGGGGGCTCCCGAATCATGCCACCCAGGGCTTCTGAGCCCCACACAAATTCCCCCTGTTCTTCAGATGCCACTGGCGCCCTGATTAAAGCCTCATTGTCACCCCGCACTCTGGGTCTGTGTCAGCCACTGGCTTTCATGGCGCGGAGCCTCTGGCTGGGGTCAGGCCCCAACAAAAGAGGTCACAGAGGAAATTAGCAGCCCATGAAGTATTAGAAAACCCCTTTTGGTGTCCACTCCACTGGAGTGTACAAATAAAATGTCCCACGAAGAAGAGTTCAGTTCTAATGGGCCCTACTGCTGAGAGGCAGGGCTGCCGGGCCTGCGTCTGCAGGCTATCACTTCGGGGGCTTCCAAGCCCTGAAACGAGAACCGGGACCTGCCAGCCATTAGACTCTCTTCTTCTGGTAGAAGACCTTCAACTCCCCAAATGCAGACTCTGTGGCTGGACCCCATCCCAATTTGTCCTCTCCCAGCCAGACATTTCTGCTCTTTGGACAAGAAGATGCAATTCTTTCACCAGGTCTGTGACCTCCTGAGCATGGTGGCCCAGGTCATTGGAAACCCCCCACCCCAGCCTGGTCTGCCCCTGCCACGCAAGAGTGCGGGCTCTCACTCGATTCTTAGAACCGTTCTTTGATGCATGAGACATGATGCTATTCCCATTCTGCAGACAAGAAAACTGAGGTCAACGTGGCAGAAAGGGATGATTCGTGTGGAAGTACAGAGCAAAGGCAGGGCAGGAAGTCAGGCCTCAGGACCTCTGCTCCCAGCCCATGGCTAAGATCTGCAGAGAATATTCAGAAATCTCCTTAGAGTCAGTCTCTGCCTCCAAAGGAGGCAGTTGTCTCCTCTGAGGTCCCAGGATGCAGTAACTGGTGCCTCAATTAGCTCAGCTACATCACTGCCTTGAGAACCAGGGTCCCGGCAGCCCCTTCTGCCTCCCCAGGCCAGTCTCTTGAGGCCCCAAACTAGGAACCAGTCACAGGAACTGGAAGAAGAACAGCCCACCTTGCTGCTCCTCTGCCGTCGGAGCCCTTGAACCCCCCTCAGGACACAGGAGGCCACGGTGTCAGTTTTTCCTGTTAACCAGATGGCTGGTGGGTTCCAAGAACTCTTGGGATGCAGGGACTGGGATGTCCAGAAAGAGTGGCCTTCACTCAACTGTGACCAATCCCCAGGATGGGGGAGGACGGCAGCCCCAACACACAAATCAACAGCACCATCCCCACCACTGTCCACTGCACTTCCAGGTGGGGATCGGCTGTGCTGGGCCACGTCTCTGCCACTCGGGGACAGATGATGCTCCCGGCAGAGGCACGGTGTGGCTGAAGGCAGGCCTTGCACAATTTGGTGGTTCCAATGAACTGGCTCGCTCCCTGCTCCCTCCACTTATGGAAGCCAATTGGAATGCAAGTGATGTCTAGTAATGTCACGGCAGGGACAGCCTCGAATCCATTCGGTGCCTTTTGTGTTATATATATATATTTTTTTTTGTGAAAGTTGTTGGGCCCCTGTCAGTACTCTCATTTCCAACTGGGAAGAAAGGCTGACATCCTGCCTCTTCGGCCTGGGCCCAGTAAGACCCACCCCTGCGACAGCCTGGGTGGAAAGGGCACCTCCGAGCGTGTCCCCTCTACCAGGTCTGGGGTGCGGGGGCTTTGTGGGAGGTTGCAGTGCTCAGCTTAAAATGGAGAAAGCACAGCTCAGAGAGGTTCCAGGGCACCCTGCCCAAGGGGAGCCCCGCCCCACGAGGCAGAAGGGAGGCAGACGGGGCTCTGGGACAGCCTCCCCCTGGACCTTCAGCATCACTGCCCCCAGCCTGGTAACAGCCATCAAAAGCTCTTCTCTTCAGAGCCAAGCGTCCACCTGGGACAGAAATCGTCCTAGGATGTGCGACATCCATCACTGCCTAATTCGCTCGAGCTCCCAGAGCCTGTGTGCCAAATCCCAGTCATCGCCACGCACCTCCAGGGCTGCACTGGATCCCAGCGGCAACACAGGGCAGGAACAGGGCCTTGGCGCTGTTCCCCGATGCTTTACAAGCTCTCCTGGCCCCTTCCAGGCGGGTCCCATTTCACAGAGGAGCATCCAGGTCCAGAGATGTTGGGGACCTGCTCCCCCAGGGTCGTGTGCCTCGTGGGAGGCCATCTGCCTCCAGAGCCTGGGATTCTAACCTTTGGTCTCCCATCCTGGCTATGCATGGAATCACCTGGAATCTTTAAACCACCCTGGTGCCCGGGTCCTGGTCCCTAGAGGTTTTGACATCCTTGGCTCAGGGAATGGCCCGAGTGTCTGGATTTCCAATGCTCTTTCGGGTGATTGTGACGGGCAGCCAGCATTAGAAACACTCTCTGAACCACAGGAAGGGGATCGTCTCTGTACCCACGATGTGCCCACAGTACCCGCCTCGGCAGAGGACCCAGAGAGGTGGTTGTGAACTCAAACTCAGAAGATGTCAGTCTCTGAGCATTTGAGCTATGCTGGCCTTTGTTGGGGGCTGGGGGGTGGGGTGTCCCCCCCTTTCTGTCAGTCGCCAGTTCTGGTGACGTCAGGACGCTTGTTGCAAACTGCGCCCTACTCCCTCCAGAGTTGCTGACACGGATTTATGGTGAGCTAGGAAAACAAAGACCAAGCTTTCTAGAACTGTGTGTAAAGCCCAGGTAGAGAGGCTTGGAAGGAGAGAGAAGCTCAACTATTCTTTCTCCTTTGGGGAAAATGAAGAACCTTCCGGAACACAGATGCCGGGGGGAGCGGGGGGGGGGGAAGCTTTTTGGCTGCTTGTGACTCTTCCTTTGGACTGTATTCCAGATAGCTGAGGTCACTGGACCAAGTGGTCCCTGGATAAGGAAAACGTCCCTGTATTTGCTTCCTTTATCAAAGGCATGCAGAGCCACAGAGATGGCCTCCGAGATGGATAAACCACAGGCTCTAAAAGCCAACTCTGTCTTCCTCCTCAACATGGCATCTACTTGGCAGCCCCCTTGCGGAGCCTCTCCTGGCTTTTGTGCCAAAATAGCTATAAAGACAATGAAGAGATGAAAATTCACACACTAACGCCAAGAACGCAAACTGATAGATGACCCAGTGCTGGGATCTGGGAGCAATCTCTATTAATTAAAGGCAGATGGTGGGGGAAGAAGCAAAAACTCTCCAGGTTTTACCTCGGGACTCAGCTCTTTGTCTGATGAACAGAAAGATCCTGGGGCGAGGGAGGAAGATGGCAGACAGAAGGACACTGACCAGAAAAACGATGGGGCAGGAAGAGGGCGGGGGCACAGGGGGTGAGCCCTCCACCAGGAAAGGAACTTTGGGGAATGGTAGGGACCAGAAGGATTAGCAGTGGCGGTGGCTTCCTGAACTTACATTTTTAATCGAAATCACTGATGGCAGAGAATCAGAAAGTGAGGAATAAGAAGGGCACCGAGTCTACCCAGGAGAAGCAAATCCAAGTAAAAAGGTTGGTAGAAACCGGGAATTGGAGATGGAGCCGTGGACCATCCCCCGGCATCCACCTTGGATCCGAGATGGGAACCCAGCCATCAGGCTAGGACAGGGATCAACAAATCTTTTTCTACAAAGGGCCAAACAGTATATATCTGAGTCTTTGAGCGCCACATGCTCTGCGTCACAACGATTCAATTGTGTGGCCACAGCTCAAAACCAGCCACCAATAACAGGTGACCAAATACGCAGGACAGACCAAACAATTCTAGAAAGAGAAAGTCACATGAAATAGGAGGAAAGATAAAGATAAGGTTAAAGACTATATATATATATATATATATAAAATGCATGAGAGAGAGAAGAGCTGGAAAAATAAAAACTAGAGCAAATTATCTCAAATCCCAGTGGCACAATTAACATCCGCTTTGTAAGCAGCAGAGAGAAATGATACTGTGGCAAACTAATTCAGGGATTTGAGAAGATGGAGAAATTTACAAAATATAGGGGGAAAGGATAAAGACAGAAACATGAAAGAGGATACAAATGTAGGAAAGTAGAGAGCGGGTAGGTGACAGGTGGGAACTGCAGCAGATGCCTGGTGGCCTCCCTCGATAATCCCAGCTACTAAGGAGGCTGAGGCAGGAGGAGCATCAAGTTCTAGGTCACCCTCAGCAACTTAGAGAGGCCCCGTTTCAAACAATAGAAAGGGCTGGGGATTCGGCTCAGTAGTAAAGCATCTCTGAGTTTAATTCCCAGTGAGTGGCAGGGAGAATCAAAGCTCAAGGAATAGGGTCCAACACCTAGACATATTTTTACAAAACACCAAGATGTGGAAAAAAACCGGAGAGATTCAAAAACAAAGATCTGGGCCAATGATCACAAAGCCATGTCTATAAAAGGGAAAACGTATGACTCAAAATTTTATACCTAGCTACACTAGCCTAGACGTACTCAGGCCACAGTGAACAAAACACATTCTCAGGTTAGCAAGGGCTCAGAAAATATTCCAATCCTGAGTCTTTTTTTTTTTTTTTAAATAAGTACTTGAGGATGTTTTCCAAACAACTATGAAATGAATAAATAACAAGACCTAAAAAAAGAAGAAAGTCATGATATAAATATACTGGAGATGAACACCCCAACTAATAAATACAGATATTTCAAACTTGGTTCTAAAACCAAATCCAAATATCAAAATAATTTTTCAATGTTTGAAAGAGAATAGACTGTCTATAAAACTATAAAAATTTACTTTGAAACTTTAGATCATATTAACAAAAAGTAGAAAGTAGAATGAGGTGAGGAA